ACAGCTCTGGTTAGCTTGAGTGTCAAACTTGCGTGACCTTTCTGGAGAGAAATCTGGACTGATGCCTTGACTATTTTAACTTGCCTCATCTGCACCTTGCTACATAATCTGCCACTTGCTTTCCTCAGAAGTCAGATGTAGCTGGTTTTCAGCATGTGGGGGCAGTGGGGTTACAGAGAGAAGGATATTGGGAGGCAGAAGGTTAATAGTGGGGATGGGCTCAAACAATTCAATCGTGTGGTGGGGCGAAGGAAGTGCGGGAAGTGGGAGACCTAGTATTTACTTATGGGACCTGAAAGAATAGTCGAATTCCTCCCAGCTATTAGTAAACAAAAATAATGATACATTGTCAAACCAATTCTTGGTAAGCTCCTCTTGATATCATGTTTCCCTGGCACAACAAGACACCTTGCTGAACAATAAAACTATTTTAGGGCCCTATTTATTTCACAGGTCTTTGGCCTGGATTTTTTCTCCCATTGCATCAGATGAGTTAGAAAATTTGGAAAGATGCAAGGAAACACAGAATTTATGATCTCTGACTGCCCAGCATACCCATAATGTCACCAAACCCTTCCCTGCTGGAAACTATCCTGATTGACTTGTTTAGATTCCAGTTGGAAAAGAAAGAGTGTAGAACAGGTTAGGCTTACACTCCTGGGTTGCGGAGGGCATGGTGGTGTGTGGAGTGCTAATCAGGGATATGCCTACCATCTAGTGGGGTAGAGAAAATGTTGTTGGGTGGGCAGGGATGTCTATGACTATCACAAGGTGGGGGGCTTGTAACGTCAAATCTTGAGGGTAGTGGTTAATCAGAGACTTCATGATTAACTGAGGCCATGGATAAGGAGAGCCTGGAAGGCATCATAAAGAAGGCAGAGAGCAGATAGGAAGAATGGTATGTGGGCCGGGGGCAGGATGTGGGTATTGATGGCAGGATTATTCATGCAAACATGTACAGTTCAGGACATAATTGAAGAGGTGCTCACCTCCTTGATCCAAATCCTCGCTTTGGCTTAGCCACTTGGATTTCTGAGGCTCAGGAATTTCAAATGAGAAATAACAACAAAGTTTACAATGGATTAACCTTATAAATTCCTGCCTCATCACTATATTCTAAATCTTTCTCACTTCCAGTTATTTCGTGAATATAATTATGTCGCTCACTCCAATAGCCTTCCTGTTAACTCTGTTTCAAAATTCAGTTGCTCCATTAAAGCTGGAGGTGAATAGTTTTGGTGGGAGGTTGAGATTGGTTTCTGGTGTTTAATGCAGTTACCTCCCAACTAACCCAAATCCACAATTTTTTGAGGTTAAAATTATCCCTTTGATTTTTGCAGATTTGTGAAGCCCTTATAGGCTTTTGGATGTCTATTATATTGTACACTTGATCGTCGCTGCTTTACAGCATCCGCAGTTCTTTCGGTTTTTACTTGATTGAACAGTTTGAAATAGCCATTTGTAAGTAGTGAGATCCCTTGAGTTTGAGCTCTGAGAAAATTCAGTCACATTTTAAAGTATTTCTTGCAGTATTTATAGAGGAAAAGATATAATCATAGCCATATACTGAAACATGAGATCTTGAGTGGCCTTGACAAGGCGCAGGTTGAGAGGATATTTCTTCTGTGGGAGGGGAGAATCTGGAACTAAGAATTAAAGTTTAAAATTAAGCACTGCTCACTCATGAAAAATGAGGAGAAACCTTTTCTCACTGGTAGTCTGAAACTCTCTTACCCAAAAGGCAGTGGAAGCTGAGTCTTTGAATATCTTCAATGGAGAGATAAAGATTCTTGATGACAAGATGGTGAAAGGTTGAGTTTACACAGAAATATGGAGTAATCAGATCAGTGGTGATCTTGCTGAATGGTAGAGCAGACTTGAAAGTCTGAGTGGCTTACTTTTGAGGTGCGGTAAAAATTTTTGTGATATGGCTGAGTAAATTTGGAATTCTCCAATTTACAAGAAGGTAGTGGAGGTGGGGTCATTGAATATTTTTGAGGTGGAGGTAAATTGATTATGACTATAAAACATAGAAGTAGGCCATCAATGAGATCACGGCTAGTCTGATAATCCTCAAATCAACTTTTCTGCTTTATCCCCATAGCTTTTGATTTCTTTGCTGAGTAAAAAATCTGTCTATCTCGGCCTTGAATATGCTTATAAGACCATAAGCTGCAAGAGCAGAATTAGGCCAATTGGTCCATAAATAAATTTGATAAATGTCTCCTGCTGAAATCTAGGACTAAACTAGAGATGGTTAAATCTTCATCCAGTTGAGCTATTTTGGTTAACAATCGTTATCCAACAAAAATCTAAAGTTATTGTGAATAAATGGGAACGTGGAGTTTTAAATACAAATGGATCAACCATAATTTAATTGAATGGCAGAACAGGCTTGAGGGGCTGAATGGCCCATTTCTGCTCCTAATTCAATGTTCATATATGTGATTCATATGTCCTGGTCCTAAATTGTATACTTGGAATTTGTACGAAGAAAACCCTTGAAGACAAGCTTAAGTAAAACCAATACCTTCAGTGTGAGGATTTTATGTTTCTCTTGCTCTGCTGAACTCATGTCTACAAGCCTAGCCTATCCAACGTTTCCTCAAAATAATACCTGCCCATTCCAGGTATTAATCTAATAAATCATCTCTGAACTACTTCCAATGCATTTACATCATTTCTTAAGTTAGGAGACCAATATTGTACAGACTACATTGGATGTGGTCTCACCAATGCCTTGTATAATTGAAGCATAGTCTCTTTACATTTATATTCAACTTCCTTTTTCAATAGAGGATAACAATCCATTAGCTTTCCTAATTTCTTGCTGTGTCTGCCTAATAACCTTTGGTGATAGATTAAACCGCATCCAGATCTCTCTGTACCTCCAGAGGTCTGCAATTACTCACCTTTTAGATAATATGCTTCTTTTGTATTCTTCTTGCCAAAATGAACAGTTTCATATTTTTCTATGTTGTATTTGATTTGCCAGATCTTTGACTACTCACTTAACATCAGCTTGAAAACGGACACATTTTATCAAAGCTTGTTCATCTTGTACTCATCAAAACAGTTCACAAGAGCACCATTTCAAGTGGAGAATGTTGATTGGTTGGCAAGTGACTGTTAGAGGTGCTGTCATGGCAAATGCATTCATTAATGATGATTTACATTTAACTGTCAGGCTTTATTAAAAGTAAAAAAGGAATGTTGACTCTGATTGGTCTGGGTTTTGCCCTGAGAAATGAAGCAACAAATAGCTTTCATTTAATTTATTCTTCGTGTGTAGTATAAATATTGATTTTTGGTTTTTTTTGCATTGGTGATTTTTGAATTGTTGGTATGAATGCAAAACGGAATGTGTCTTTTAGCAATACTGAGATAGGGTACTATCAAATGACTATTTCTATCCATGACCCTTTGTAGCCACTTTATATCCTCTTCTCAACCTATCTTCATGCCATCAGCAAATTTTGGAACCATGAGCCCTTGTTCCTTCATTTAAGTCATTTATATAAATTGTAAAACCAGTAAATCAACCAGTTCCCCTTTACCCACAGCACAATTTACTTCTTGAAACCAGTCGAATAGATTAGTTAAACATGATTTCCCCTTTACAAAACCTTTAGTTAGTTCTACATGATGATCCTGAACCAGTTATAACCCTGCTGAAACCTCTTCAATAACAATTTCCAACTGCAGTCCTATGACAAATGTTAAGCTAATTGACCTGTAGTTTCCTGGGTTCTGACTCCCTTCGTTTTTAAATAAAGGAGTTATACTTACTGTTTACAGGTCTAATGGTAGTTTCGAGGAATCGATGGAATTGTGAATAATTAAACTCAATATATCAACTTTGTCACTTGCTGTTTCTTTTAAGACTACGATGAAGTCAATCGGGCCCTGAGGACTTGTCAGCCCACTGCTTCAGTGATCTGCTCATTACTAGGTTCCTGGTGATTGCAAATTTCCTGAGTTACTTGCTGCCTTTCATTTCCTGATGTATTAGCTATTTTTGCAATGTTGCTCGCAACCTCCATAGTGAGGACTAATGCAAAATACCTGTTCAATTCATCTATCATCAACTTATTTCCAATATTAAGTCTCCGGACTCACTTTCTATTAGATCAATGTTTACTTTGTTAGCTGCTCTCTTTTAAATATCTATAGAGACTTTTTTCCATTTGATTTTATATTTCTAGCTTGCTTTATTAATCTTTAATACTTTTTAAATATTCTGTCCAATCTTATGACCTATACTTCATCTTTGCATAAACATATTATTTTTCTTTAAATTTCATACTACATTTAACTTTTTTGGTTAAACATAAATGGTAGGTCCTCCACTTCAAATGTTTCTTTCTCACAGAAATGTATTTATTCTGTCTATTCTGAAATACCCCCTTATTTGTCTGCCATTGCATCTCTTCTGACTTTTCCGACTTGCCAGTTTTGCCAGATTGCCAGTTTGCTTCAGCTAGCTCTGCTTTCATACCCTAATAGTTGCCCTAATTTAAATGTAAAATATGAATCTTGGACCTACTCTTCTCCCACCCAAGCTGAATATATAATTCAATTATATTCTGATTGTTGCTGGATGCCTTCACAAATATGTTATTAATTAATCCTGTCTCATTACATAACACCAGGTCTAGAACAGCTTGCTCTTTGGTTAGCGACTGAACATGCTGTTCTAAGAAATTGTCCCAAAAGGAACTCCTCACCCAGGCTACCTTTGCCTGTCTGTTTTTTCCCATCAGTATGTAGGCTAAAATCTCCTACGAATATTGCCGTACCTAGCTGACAAGTTTCCATTATCTCTTCTGCATTCATACCAATTTCTACACAAATTTTGTACTTTTGAATTCCACGTGTTCCCATGTTTGTCTATTGTTGACAAACATATTCTTTTGATGTCAATGTAAAATTATATTTAACAGCATGCTTTGAAACGTGTGTTTAAAAAAAAAATCATTTACATTATTTTCTCCTTGCAGGATACTAGCAAGTGCAGGAAAAGACCTGAAAGATAATTTCCTGATAGCACTGGCAGAGCGAGAGGAAGCCAACCGGAGCGGGAGAATGGCTGTGAGTGCATAATTAAGTGTTTAAGTTGTATGTAAATTATTTTTATATAGGAGGAAACTGCACAAGGATTGAGCTGTAACCTTAACATGATTTATATACATAATATAAGTGCAGTGAAATTAGTCATCAGCAGTGCTGCAAAACAAGCAATAACATACCACTGAAAAGAAAATTAGCCAGGGTCTTAACCACGACTTGTTTCTCATCCACGTTGCAGTATCATTGATGGACATTTTCACCCCCAGGGTCTTGTCAGAAAACTAGACCTTCAAGGCTGCTTTAGCTGAAATGTACACTTACACCATTGACTCTACTTAAAATATATATCAGCATTTTACATCACTTTACAAGCAGTTTTGCCTGGAGCTTTCAGGTGTGACCAATGAATATTCCGACAGAGGAATGAATTTCCTTGGGACTTCTTTTGGTCTGCTGGAATAACTTCAGCAGACATTTACTGGGAGCCCTACATAACATGCTAAAGTGAGAAAAGCATCAAGAAAATTCATCCATGATATTTTTAATTGTGCAGTGTAATACTGTAATGGTATTAAAAAAGGGATTCAATACAAATTGTTCAGATATTCCTTTAAATTCGGATTAAAATTATCTCATTTTTTATTTACACTTTAACTTTGACCAAAGGAATTTGCAAAAATGCAATGTAAAATATGCTTCAATTTAGGAATTCCAAAGGAAATTTACTGCTATAAATTAAGGCACAATTTATTATTATGTATTTTGTTTAATTTCCTTTTTATCGTATTCACTGCTACAGTTGCACAGATGACCACTCACCAAGGGTATACTACATACTTGGTCATTCTTCCCTACTTGATACAATAGTTACAGTTATGTTTTTCCTATGACAATTAATTTTGCATTCAAAAATATGTAGATCCACACGATTGTGTCAATTTGTAGATGTATATAACTGGACTATGTAGTTTGCATACTCTGTGGCATATTGGAATATCGGCGCTAGCAAGATTTAAATTATGGGTTGACTAACAAAAATTCTGGTTGGAAAAATAAACGGCAAAAAAGTGATGGTCTTCCTATATCTGGAACTATGGGATTTGCGATTACTAGATCAAACATAGCCTGGAGAAGCGATTCTGGAACCTGTGGACACATATTTCCCCACAGAATATTGACTATGTAAACAGTTCCATGCATAAGCCATTCTAGCTTTAAACTTATGTTATTGAAGTTGGTATAAAAGAGCTGGTTACAACTTGTTCCTTTTTAAGACTATTCAAAGAAACCACTGTAGTTGACTCAGAAAACAGTGAATTAAGCAGCTTCTTATGTATCTCTTCCTGTGTTTAAGACCTGAGGAAGAAAATATTGTACAGTATATGACTAACAATATTGTGCTGACACACTTCTTTTTTTTTTCCTTTACTGTTTTCCAAGTCCTGCGAAGTGTTTCCTTTGATGAAAAAAGGCTGATTGTAAGAATGTTTATTTCGTTTTCAATTAACCCAAATTTGCCCCCATTTAATAAACCCACTAGTGGAAAAAGTATGAGTCATGCAGGTAATTTTGACTGAAAGTTTGACAATTCTCATTTTGTGTAAGCTCTACAAAGTTTATCGAACTATATTTACATGGGCAAAGACTGCACTTCAAGTAGCATTTTGCACTTAACTCTTCGCTGTCAGATCCTTAAAAAATTGGGTGCCTGATGTATATAAAATGAACTCAGTCAGAATATGTAATTTTACACCACAATGCTGTTAAATTTCACCTCTCATGGACCTAGAATTTTCTGATTAGTACTATTTAAATGCTGGCTTCAGTCTTTTTATAAAAAAGTTAAAATACATACTAAAGTATGTAAAGCGTCCACCTTTGAAGAAATGTAAAACATCTTAATTTTTTCACAATACCTAGAACGTGAATGTCATTTTGTTCCGTGATAGAAAGGATTAATTAAGCAACGTTCTATTTAATGCACTTTTTTTGAGTTCCTTAATTTCTATTGGACAAGTCAGCCAAAATGTCTGGTATCTGGTTTTAAGATTAAATTAAATGAAATAGAATTTCCATGGAAGTGCATCCAATTATCCTTCGCATTTTATGTATAGGAGATTATTGGGGCAATCTCCACAGAAATCATTGGTGCATGCCTTTATCCCACACTTATAACTTTTTTATTTTATGAGTATATTATTCCTTCAGATAGTGAGAAATGGGTTTAATACAACAATGTTTAAGATAAATTTGTTGACTTATTTTAGTGGAAGTATTGAACAGAGAAGAAACATTCTTTGCAGGCAAGAGAATTAAAAATAAGAGCAAAATAGGTAAGATATTCAGCATACAGCAGGGCATTATGCGTATCACAAAAAAAAAGCAAATGATTGAAAGGAGGATAGAATTGTCAAAGAGATTCCCCACTCTTCTATTATAACTTTGGTGGAAACCTTGGAGAGAATCTGAAAATGGCCATTTCAGCTTCTTTACCAAAGTTTCCCTGATTTTCAACTAAAGCTACTGCAGGCAATCTGGAAAACCATCTCGGATATTTCTAGTGTAAATATCGAAATTAAAAGCTGAGTCTGTGAGGTTAAAGATAAAGTTTATTTTAGACAGGGTTTCTGCTGATCATGCAAAAAAGGTTATGGCAGTAGTTCAGGAAAAATCAATGGCAACTGTTATTAACAATTGAACCTCTTTCTACATTTGAATAAGCATGTAACGAGAATTAGGTAAAGTTTGTGTTATTTTACACACAAGAAGTGTTTGTCGAAGAATATATCATAGAATTTTCCAGGGGAGTTCTCCAGTCTCTCACTGAAAGCTCCATGGGAGATTGATGAATGTTCAAGAGAAATATAAACAGCTATTTATGCTGTTTCACAGGATTTCTGCTGATCATCCAAAGAAGTGACGGTGGAAGATCAGGGGAATCCCCATTGAGCCCTTCTCTAACCAAAATTATTAATTTCATTCAGCAAGAAGATTAAACATTTCTGCTGATTATTTTGAAATTTTATCAGTTATTTTTTATGTAGTTATCCATTCTTTTAGTTTTTGGCTTTTGATATTTGCATGTACTTGGATAGTTTTCCTTAAAAAAATCAATTTGTGAATTTGCATCCAATTTTTTTGAATTGTAAGGAAAAGAACTCATTACAAGTGTGTAAACTCGAATGTGTTGTGATAGCCTTCAGGTTAGCTTCTTGCAGATCTCTGCCAGTGCCAATTATCTAGCTATTCCAGTCTATTACAACTGTTGCATGTAGTATTGCATTTCTGGTGTAATGATTTCTATTTCAAAGTGCATCCCCTAATGTGAATACAGCTTAAATCCTTGCCAATAATAAAAACAGGAAGTGCTGGAGAAACTCAGTAGGCTTGGCAACATCTGAAGAAAGAGATGCAGAGCACTGTTTCAAGTTTGATATGACCTTTCTTTGGAGCTTCTCCAGTTCTGAAGAAGAGTCATAGAGCTGTACAGCATGGAAACAGTCCCTTCAGTCCAACTGGTCCATGCCGGCCAGATATGCTAAATTAATCTAGTTTTATTTGCCAGCATTTGACCCATATCCCTCTAAACCCTTCCTATCCATATAACCATCTAGATGCCTTTTCAATGATGTACCAGCCTCCACCACTTCCTCTGGGAGCTGATTCCATACATCCTCTGCGTGAAAAAGTTGTCCCTTAGGTCCCTTTTAAATCTTTCGCCTCTCACACACTGGACTTGAAACATTAACTCTGTTTCTCTCTCCATAGATGCTGCCAGACCTGCTGAGTTTCTCCAGCATTTTTTTATTTCAAAGCTCCAGTATCCATAGTACTTTGCTTTTATTTAAATCCTTTCCCATCTTCTACCTGCTGCAAAGATAATGAATAAGGTTACCAAGGTAATGAGCACACATGTCGGGTGATGTGGTCAACTTGTATATTGAAAATGCATTTCAAATTGTGGGGACTTGTCTCTGTTTGGAAAAGGTAATTTTGTCAAACCTGGAGGCAGTCTGATTTCTGTCACTTGTAGCTTTAGATCAGTTTCATATATGTCAATAGCAAATCAGTAATTTGTTTTCCAGTTCTTCAAGCCACAATATTGCATTGCAATTCCATAAAAGCTAGCAACTTTATAATAGAGATGTGACACAAGAGACTTTGATCTCAACAATTGCAAAAAAAATCCAGAATATTTGTAGCTTAGTTATTTGATAGATGTTTTAGCCATTCAAACCTTCAATCTTTTGCCAAAGTTACGTTGAGCCACATAACTGAAATAGGTAGGCATCTGCCCAGGACCATCCAGAGTAACGGGTTTGAAGTGTAATACTTTAAAAGCCGTACTGTACTGAAGCAAGTGGACTCGGCTTAAATTTGAGTAGAAAATGAAAATAAACCCTCATTATAAGAAGCAGTCTAATTTTACAAACTGATTCCAAGCTATGCTCATTTACTGTGATACTTGTAAGATGCTCACGTTCATTGCTCCCTTGGCTTGGATTCCAGTAAATTAATGATATCCACTGAGCTTATGACAAATAAATCAGGAATTCTGGCAGGATGTTCTATCCCAATGGCTGTATCTTTTACTTGATATCAGACTACAATGGGAAGAACCTTGGACCTGTTCCTGCACCCAACAGGAATTCCATACTGAGTTTTTCAGGAGGGAGAACCAGTATCCAACCCAATTTCCTACCTGTACCTCTCATCTACTAATTCCTTGATGTTGGTATTCCATCCTAGGCAAATCTGGACCACTGCTTTAAGTGATAGTTTGTATGTTCCATTTACTTTCTAGCTGTGTATTTTTAATGGTCACCCTGATTCTCCTAATTCTCTACTTCAACAACTATCACCAGTGGACTTCTCAAAAAAAGTTTTATTTTTGCCAATAATCATCTTTAATCAGTCTCAGTTTCATTTAATTTAGCACTAGTTTTAATACTGAGAAAGCATTGTGTTTTCAAGATTCAATCCAAACAGTAGCATGTGAAAAATCTGACATTCCAAAGTAG